CCTTTTGTTGAGCTCTTTCGAAAAGTAGCCACCTTTTAAATTGTTTATGGATGCACTATCTTTTACCGTCATATTCCTCACACTTACCCACAATCTTTTTCAGGCTGAATCCAAAAGAAACTTTTGATTTAAACGCTCTCAGAGCCTTAGTTTCTGTTTCTTCTTGTCATTACCTGTTCCCTCTTAAAATATCGTTACTTCAGACCGATGTTTGTCTAGTCGTAGCTTTCAAATGGGTGCCACTATGTTTAAAACATATAGAGGACTACACACTGTTAGTCACAATGCAACCGATTTTAAAGATAAAATATGAAGATGCTGCCGCTGTTAATGGCATTAAAACGAAACTAGCATCCACCGCTAGTTACGTTAAGGAGGGACGACATAAATGTGAACTTTGTAGGATACCGATGTCCTAGTGCTTATAGGTCTTACGTTTTGTCGTTCTAGAGCGATTGAGCATAAATTTGTTTCAGGTTTGATTCGTAATGTGCCCGAGTAAGATTTTTTGAGCAGAAGCAGAATTACGCTATACTCTTTTTATGTTGCAAAAGCTGCTGATTTTCAGGTTCCACAGCGGTGATGCTTATTCGTTCTTAGCTGCTTGCGTTCGCTGAACTAGTGCTGTATTTCAAATGCCTCTCGATCTATTAAAATCTTGTTTCTAAGACTAACTGACGCTGTAGCGACCTTCGTCGTTTGTTATGAATTTCGGAGCGTCGGTTATCCATTTGTAAACAAAGCCGAAATGACGCAGATGATTCTAAAAATGGGAAGTGTTCTTGTACGAATAGTTTCTGAACTCGAGCGTAGAATAGATTGTTCAGTTCTCTTTATCATTACCCTCACTTCCTCATGCACTAGGAAAAAATGAAGCAGGGCAGGAATCGAAAATAGCATTAGTGATCGATACTTCTCGTCTTCAATCAGCGTGACTTGCGAGTGTATGTTTGCTCAGTGAAACCGAAATCGTGAAACATGTAGTGTTTCCTTGAAGTTGGACTTTTCGCTTTGTGAAGTATTATTTGCCTGAATATATTTTTTTGAAGGTTTCGTCAGCAAGTTTTGAATTTTATTGTTGTAAGGCTTTCAGCACCACTTTTGAAAAACTATCTATTTGTGTATCGCATATTCTCTGAACCGACTAGGACATCTTTTACTTGTCTGCATGCCATTTAAATATTATGTGGCTTTATGAGTTCATTATTTTTTGAGCTAAATTTCCTTCATGTAACGTTTTAAACTTCTTATTTAAGGTTCGTCACTTTTGTCCTAACGTTCCAATCATACTTGTGGGAAACAAGAAGGATTTGCGTAACGACTCCCAGACGCTTAGGGAGTTGGCTAAAATGAAACAGGAGCCAGTGAAACCCGAGCAGGGAAGAGCAATGGCGGAACAGATTGGGGCATACGCTTATTTAGAGTGCTCTGCAAAAACGAAAGACGTGAGTGTATTTTATGGCTTTTGCTATCACTATTTTTCTGGCTATTAAAACAAATTAATTATGAGTGATGAAATTGGGACTACGGCTTATTTTGATTATTACAATAACTTAAATAAAGGCGCTGTCCTTGGAGAGCGTGATCGCACTTCTCCCGTTACAGTATGATATCATCATAATACGATGCTGTCCTTGTTATTCGTATAACATCAGCATGCTACCCGTTTCTCAACTGATTACACTGAACCAACATAGGGTAAATTGCTTATTCAATAGAATTCGTGATTCGGACAACGACTGTCCCTTCTGTGCCGTTGAATCCCGTACCTCGGGAGTAGGAAGCTGACCTCTTTGCCACTCTGCCACTACCTACCTAAATTACACTGTCACAGAAAATTGTTTTGTAGTAATTTGTTTAAAAGTTTGTCTAAGTAGCATTTATTTTGACAACAGTGATGAGTACGTTTACCGTCAAAATCCTAACAGTACAGCTGTGCAAAAGGGCAGTGTTCTTAGAGTTTGATGGGTATTAAGGCATGTCGAACCAACTTTGCTTTAAAACACAACGCTGATTTACTGGCCAATTTCGACTTTATGTTGCACAGCGAGATACTTTATCTTCGTGAAAAGAGTTGTCACAAAAAGAAGTACAATTTTTATGTCAGAAAATCAGTTCTAAAAGTACTTAGCAAGCCGTGGGTATGG